TTCTTATCATTACTAGGTTTAACTTCCTGCGTGCGTATTCCGGGATTTTATCGGCAATGTCGTCAGCATACCCCACGAGACATGTGCATCTCAAGTTCTAATGTGCCATCGTAGCTGACGTCCCAGAGGTCTGGCCAGTGGATAGAGCCCTGCGCTAATCCTGCCGTCACCTTGTGTTTTCGCTGCCCGCCAGTCAAGCTCAAATCCCGGGGGAAGGAGAATTTATTCTCTAAGGCTTGGATCATATCCTTCCACTGTGTACTGTTGAAGGCATTTCGAAAATCCAATGTGGTTAGTAGGACTATTTGTTTGTGACACACTTGTTAAGCCTTTTCAACACTTTTAACTACATTTTCGCTTGTTCCCAGTGTTGATCTACTGGGCCTGAACCCGTAATGCTTTTTTTTGAGAGCCCTCCAGCACTAGCGATAGCTGCTTCCAGTCTCGGTTCTAGCAGTATTTCCAGAAGCAGTCCAGCATGCAGAGAAGGCGGTATGTCGATGGGCTATCTAGGTTCCCTTTACTAATGAGCACCAGCTGCTGTCTTTTAAAGATTTCTGGGAATTGGTTTCTTTTCAGGCAGCCATTAAACATACTTAGAAGTAAATTACGTCGTTTGCCTCCTTCACAGAAACAAAAGCAGTATGTAATAAGTGCTTCGCTGAAAAGTCTATGTTTGATGCCAGATTACTTGCTTATTTATGCTTTAAGTGCAATCCAGGTTACTCAATTTTGGTCTGCCCATTTTAGAGAGATATGGATCAGTAAGCTCTTCATGCAAGCCATCTTGAGTGACTAACTTTTCCAGAAAGCATGAGTGAAGACCTTATTGAATTTTGAGCTAAAATTTATAAAAATAATAGCCCAACAATATAAATATATATTTATGTAAAAAATATTTATGTAAAAATATATATATATATTTCAATATCTACTGAATTTTATCCCTTGAATACTCACCTTGTTTTCACTTTCAATTGAAAAACTTACCTGTACACAATGTTGATTCTGCAATATTTCAAAAAATATTCGCTTCAAAGAAAAAGTCACAACAATCAAGCAAAGTTCAGTGATATTCACGGTTGTATTTCGATAGGTAAAGCCTGCATTTGATAAGCTGACCTTTTTTACGCGGCAATTTCAAACCGCTCGCTTTAAAATTTTGTTTTACTGTTTTATCTTCTCCTAAGTAAGAATAATGGGAACACACATTCAATTTCAAGTTTTTGGAGTATAAAAAAATTGATTTTATGCAAAAATTTTGGTATTTTCGCCCATAGTGCATTAGTGGTAGTCCTGCGAATTTTATAATTTAAAATAAATTTTCAAATGGACAATATTTTGATTATAACCTGATATTAATAACTAACTTTCATAACAAATGCGTTTTGTAAAACTATTTCGATTGAAATTATATTTTTTAATATTTTTAACGTATTTTTAATGTTTAGTTGAAGTTTTAGTTGTGTACCAAATTTCACATTTGGTATGCGTGGCATTTTTTTTTTTGGACTGGTTTGACGAATGTTTTACAATTAGCTGTAGAAAATTTTAGATATGTATGTAATCACAAATATACTAAGGCTTTTGTGATGGTGAGTCGTATTTGTGTATATTTACACAGCTTTATTTTTCTGATTTGTGGTGCATAGAAAGAGAAGCAAACTCAGAACGCAGAAAAGTTAAGCAAATTAATGAAAGTTGTCCAAGAGAACATTGAAAACAAAAGACATCAATCGCGAAATGAGCTCCAAAGCATATCGGGTATATTTGTAAACAAATTTTTAATTTTTGGAGAAATTTCAAAAGCGAAAAATCATCGATTTTATAATATAAATCTGACCGTTGGAGCTATGGTCAAAAGTAGTCTCAACCAACCTCAAAATAAAATTTTATTGAGTCTTCTGAAATGACAAAACGACGAATAATTGTTGAGCTATCAAAAACCTGATCTTCATACTTTAATTTTTTCAGGTAAACTTTCTTCATCTTTGATAGGTATTACGAGGGTCGGATGATAAATTCGCGGTTCAAAATACTTAATAAACCACTAAAAAAAATATTTTTAGATTTCTCTTCAAAATGGTCTTCTACAGCGGCTTTCATCAGACTGTCGTCTACCCATAACTTCTTTTTTTTCAATTTGAAAGTCAATATCTGTAATGCCAGTAGCTTTCCAAAAAATTAATACTGGCCGTTCATTGAAGTTTCTTTTGACAAGTAATCAATTAAAAACATTCCTTCCCGATCGCAGAAAATGGTAGCCATAATCTTCGACGCTGACTTTTCCACTTTTAATATTTTTGGTGGCCTTTCTCATTTTTTATCCACTTCATCGATTCAAGATTGGATTCGGAATCATACTGAGGAATCCAAATATCATTAACTTTTGCAATTGTCGCGGTTGCAAGTTATATCCAAATCATCTTGACACAACTCCAAAAACTCCTTACAACTCTCCAACCGGCGCTGCTTGTCGAGCGGCGTAAGCATTGAGGTATTCAACACGCACTGAATTGTTTCCTGTTCAAATGTTAATGCAAAATCTCTCCAGCTCATTCTTTTCTAATCTGTAATCCTTCTGTTACTTTCTGCAATTCAATTCTTCGTTCAGCCAGTATTAATTTTCCGAGTGCATTTTTGATATGAAATAAAGGCTCCTCATGAAGAATCATCAACCGTTCGGAGATGGCTTAATATAGAATTTAGGCACGTCCATTTGTTGGAAACATGTCAAGACGGAATATATATATATATATATAGGAAGGAGTAGAGTGTTGAAGAACCAATGACATCTTTCGCGGTACTTCCTTACAAGGAATTTAACTCGCTGTCATTTTGTTGTTCCGAGGACGAGATGTTAATGAAACTAATAAAAAAAATTGTTGTTTTATTTATGCTAATAATGAGCCCTGCAATTAGTGTTTTCAGTAACGAAATGATGCGTCATTTCTAACTACCTTAAGTCCGAACTTATCAGCCGCCCCTCGTATCTTCCAAAATAAATACTACCCAAAATTATTAGTTGTATCATCGTTCTTACGTGTACAGTTGAACTTTCAGGTTGTTTAAAAAACGTATGTACGGCAGCAATGGGTTCTTTAAGAAGTTCGGTATGTCTCCATTGTGATTAAAGCTCTCCTGAAGAGTATAACTAGCCAACAACTTCAAAGACGATAATGTGGCAAGAACATTTTTGAACAATTCAAAGGTGTTTAATTAAAATGTTCAACATCACTGAAACTTACTTAATTATTTCCTGTGCCCCAACTTTTCTGTCCACAAATTTCTAGTACATGCTCCTGAAATAATAAGTTATGCGCTTGTTTCGATAGGAAGAATGAAGCAGATGAATCAAAAAACAAGGATATTTTAAATTCCATTTCTGAACTCAAGGTTCCACTAGCCTACTCATTAAGAGAACAAAAATTGGAGTTAAATAAATTATTTTAGAAAAGAAAAATAAAAAATAATAAATTTACTGTGTGCAAATATTAAGGTGAATTATTAATTTTAGCTTCCCGCATTTAATATTTCGGGTTAATTCTTTTTTTAATATGTTATTGACATCGACGCTAAATTTCATGTCAATATCATCATTTATATTTTAGTTACGCTTGTGTTTACTAAACGACTAAAAGTGCTTTCGTGGTTTTTGCATCACAATACTGCACACAGCACTCATTCTTCGTGACCATTTCGCTAAAAATTTAACGAATATCACTCTCCAACCACCCTATTCGCCTGACTTAGCACTATGTGACTTCTGGCTCTTCCTAAAACTCAAGAGACCACTTCGAGGACACCGTTTTGAGTCGATTGAGGAGATTAAACGTGAATCGGCGCGCTCTCTGAAGGCCATACCAGAACGTGAATATTTGACATGCTTCGGCATAAGTGCATAGCATCGGCAGGGGACTATTTTGAAGGCAACGAATTCGATGTAGAAGAATAAAAAAAGATTTAATTCACCTTACTTGTTGCTCACAGAGTATGTTATTGTCTATATTCAAAGTATTTTTCTAGATTTTTGGTGAAAATTTCAAAATGATATCTCTGCTTGAAGTATTTTTGGGCTAAGCTCAATACAAGCCCATCTTCTGTGCAATGCCATGGTGGTGAAAATTTGTATTACTAACGTGGTGATTTTTCTCGAAATAATGAACAGTTCTGATTTCAACTTAATCATCTTAGTTTAAACATTAAATCTTCGTGTACTTTAAATTTCAACTGCTGGGTGGTATTGTACTGATTCCGAAGAGATACGAGTATCTCCAATTCAAGTTGTTCTAAATACGTCTAACATTCAATTTCATATGTGCTCTTCTCAAAAGCTGTTCTCAAAAAAACTAATATCAGCATATTTTTACACAAATAAGTAAATTTATTTATTCAACAGTAAGAATATAAAAATTTAAATTTTTTGTTATTTTGCAAAAAACTTCCATTCAATTCTTCTAACTCTTTACGCATATCTAAAATGCCATTTACGATGTAATCGGCCAAAACAAAGTACGCTTGAGTGATTTTGACAAAGTATGAAAATTGTAAAGAAGCTCTTCCACCGTTCGCGTCTGCTTGAATTCAACTATTCACTGGTACATGAAAGCACTTATCAAAGTCATACAGAAATAGCAACCTTTAAGAAATCAACTTAATCTCGAACTGCCAAAAACACACGCATTACTTGCAGTCGTGCATTAAGGAGCGTGTCAGTAGCAGACGCCTTTAAGTTTCATGCAATGTCGTAGAAAGAGCAAGAGCAACTCACACACTCTCACATATACTTGCAAAAGTTGTTGACCAACACAACTGCATTTAATTGCACCCAAAAAAAAATATGCAAAAAATACACTCACGAAAATCCACTTATACTATACTTGAGCTGTCAGCGCTACTCTGCAAGCTACAACTTCACTACATCATACTAACACATTCCAAATTCTTTCGCCGTTTCTTTTACACACTATGCATTTCATCTTTCTCCACTTTCTCTGCAGTACCTCAATCTCAGCGCCAATACAATTCGCCTGGTAGCAGCATCTTGCCTGGATAACCTCATCAATCTGGAAACGATCGACTTGTCCGCCAACAATTTGACCCGACTACCCGCCGGTCTGTTCGCAACAACCACCCAGTTACAGCGTGTCAATTTGTCACGTAATGCACTGACGGTCATTCAGGCAGACCTCTTCGCCCGACTGCCCTATCTGCGTACGTTGGACATGTCACAGAATCAATTGTCGTCCGGCGCATTCATCGCTCATCTCTCGCCGTTGCTGCCGCACTTTGCACTTACGCTGGATTTAAGTGAGAATCACTTAACGCGATTCGATGGTGATGCCATGGCTGCGTTGGAAGTGAGTGCAGCGAGTGTTGATTTGTCCGGCAACTGGTGGCATTGCCAATGGCTCATTGCTGAGTTGGTTCGCGCGCCAGCCCATTTTCACTTTGGGCGCAATTATTCGCTAGCGGCGTCATGGAGTGAGGCGCTGCTCAACGTGAGTGGCATTGATTGCTACGATGCGGAGCGCGAACGCAGCATTGTGGTGCTAGATGCTGGGCGTTTATGGGAGCGACGGTATAGTAAGGGCGATACTGAGTGTTCGGTAGGTGTAATAAAAATGCTAATTGGCTTGGTTCACTGCCACACTCATACTCATATACAAATAACGCTCATATTGACATGTGATTTATGCTTCTTTACTTACAGACTTTCGTTGCTCCTGCCATACCTACACCGCCTCCCTTGGCTTGGCCCCGTGTGCGTATGGACCGCTTTGACTCACGCTCTATAATTATATGGATGTTGATTGCAATCGGTTTGGCTTTTGCTGGCTTGCGCATAGCACGTCAGTTGATCGATAGACGGGAGCAGCATAGACGTTTGAAAAAACTCCGCGCAATGGTAAGTTATTACATTATATTTATACTTTACTATGAGTTTACATTTACGGCTTTCACTCGCAGAAGGCAGAGGAGCTCAGCAGATTGACGACGTCAGTAAAAGTGAAATCTAATGAGGAACAAAATTAACCAAGCGAAATAGTTTGAAATTTTTGAGAGACTCATGGGAAAGTGTAGGACGTAAAATTTAATAATTATAAAATTGCGTACATTTGTATTATGTTAATAAATATAAAATATTAAATAACGGTAGTTTTAAAATTAAAGTTGGGCATTTGAAGTTATTTATTAAAATACCAATATTATTATTAAATTCTATTTCTCTTTGTTCCGTTGCAACCTGAAGTTGCATAACATAATCACCGAAATCGCTTTTATTTTCCATACCTATGGTGGGAGGAATTTTAATTTTTTCTAAAGTAAGTTAAAATTATTTAAATTATCAAAATAAAGATCACAGAAATAAAAGTTTTGAGTTGAAGTCGAACTGGCTACAACAATGAATTTGCCGCTACACCACAACACGAGGCAAATTTACACAAGGTTATGGCAAGAATACAAAAATAAATATCTGAGGTATTTTGTTAGTTTAATGGTGAAATTATTACTGAGTATGTTTAATTTCATTTTTTCTTTCGAATCTCATCATAGTCGGGTAATGGAACTTCCTTCCATATTCATCGATTGGGGTTTCGAATTCGCCATCTCTTGGTGTTCCTTTCGTTCCGCCATATAACAGACTGGAAAAAAGCTCACTCCATAAATTCAGTATACTCTGGGTATCAATCGCTAGACAATCAAGTAAAAGCTTTTCGTTTGTAGTAGTCCAGTTGATGGGAGTTGGACCGAAAAGGCGTAAATAAATTATTCAACAATGGATAAGCGAAATCACCTGCTAGCCATAGTTTAGAATAAAAAAAAATGCGACCGTCGTGAACACTTCCAAAGTATCCTCCAACAACATCACGAACTTTTAGACTTCAATTCTAAAGGCCTACATCCAGTTCATAAGTTTATTGTCAAGTAAACATTGGTGTATAATTCTTCTTCTTCTTTATTGGCGTTGGCACCTCTTGCGCAATTACAGCCGAATCAATTATTCATCTCTTCTTTTCGCTGTTTGACGTCAGTTGGAAGTACCGAATGAGATCAGGTTGCTCTGCACCTGATCCTTCAAACGGTGTGAAGGTCTCCCTCTTCCTCTGCCTCCACTGGCGGGTACTGCTCGAATACTTTTAAAGCTGGTATCCTTTCATCCATTCGGACGAAGAGTTTGGTTGGCTTGTAGAGTTTGGTTTTCGTTCGCTGAGAGATAACTTGACTCTTCAACTGCCTATTTAGTTCAAAGTAACACCTGTTGGCAAGAGTGATTCTGCGGGGATGACTGTTTGTGTGATGACAGGAGATATATCGTCTTGCGCTCGTTCACTACCAGACCCACATCCTTCGCTTCCTTATCCAGCCTCATGGCACGATTGTTGAGACCAATGATGTCAAGATCATCGGCGTACGCCAGCAGCTTATAGAAGATTGTACCTTCTCTATTCAGCTCTGCAGTTCATAAAATTTTATGCAGCAATAAGTTAAAAAAGTCACACTATAAAGAGTCACCCTGCCTGATACCTCGTTTTGTATCGAACGGCTCGGAGAGGTCCTTCCCAATCCTGACCGACCTTTTGGTATTTCTTACGGTCAAATCAGACATAACGGTGTAGAGGCAGCTCCTTTTTGTGCTCCCTTCATAAGTTCAGTACACTTTCAGCATCCGTCACTATTCCGTCCGTCATTATTCTTACCAAATAGTAAAATGTTATTTAATACAGTTTAAATTCAATATTTTGAGCGGGAATTCATTATTGATGATGATTCATTACTTCTTACGAAATATTTATATTTTTTATAATGTGTACTTTATTATTTTAGCCACAACCATTATTAGCGAAAATGTTGTAAAGGAAGAATTATTTAAAAATTCAAAAGAACAAGTAAACAAGAGAGTACCTAATGCGAGACTGCGGAAGTGGTCGATCGCAAATTCGAAGAGGAAATAGTATTAAAATTCTTGCAGTTTTTATGTATCCAAGTCTCAAACCAAGTATGCAACTTGACTATAAACATTGATGTAAGATTTTGGTGTTGGTTTCTATATCAGCTTTGTCTTTCCACTTTCATTAACCCATTAATGGAAAATATTTAACAACACTACGCAAACATTTATGTACATATATACGAGGTGTGATTAGAAAATATCCGATATTTTCAAATTTCCTGAGTTATGTATGTTTCACATTTTTCGCAATATCAGCCATTTTGGATTGTCAGTTGGTTTTTGACGGATAAAAAGGTTAGCCGTATTTTAGTGTGCTTTTCGATATTTTACTATTCGAAAAAATGGATCAAAGCAAATGCATTAAATTTGTGTAAAAAACTAAATTAAATGCGCAGAGACATTTGAATTGTTGACTGCGGCGTTTGGCAAGTCTCTTATGAGCAGAAGACAAGCTCAATTGTGGTATAGCCGGTTTAAGGTTGGCCGAGAAGATGCCAATGACAATGCTCGTCCTGGTCGCCCGAGCACGTCAAGTTCGGCCAAATGTGATGGTTTTGCTCACTGTTTTCTTCGACTGGAATTTCGTGGTGTATTATGAATTCTTGCTACAAAAAGGAATATGGTCTGCGTACGATTAATAAGGAATACTAAATTCTTAAATCGTAAATCGTGATTCAGACGTGGGCACGTTTCGTGGTTTAAGAGAAGATTACGGTGCACTTAATCGTCCAAATACTCAATCAATTGGTAATATTTATAAGAAATTTTAAGAGACGGCACACTTGGGTGAGTTTTGCACCTTGGTATACACCTATATCCATAGAAAGTCCAGCTCACACAACAGCGCTGTACGAGGCAGTTATCCACAAACTAAATGTTATGACTGTCAACAGAGACGTGAAAGCCAATCCGCTTTTTTTATAACTGAAGACATTTCCTCGATAAATAGTGCCTCTGACTAAAACCTTGTTTGACATCGGGTTACTCGGAGAGGTCCATTCCGCTTCAGGCTATACTACTGGTGTTGCCCAGCGTAAGTTAATACCAGTCGATAAGCAATCGGACCCTGCCGTTTTGTTGCTCTTTAAGTGAAAAATCGCCATTCATGCTTCGCTATAGTCGGCTAATGTAACGCTCTTTGGGTTCGCAATGTTCCTCTCATAAACTAAGTATGTTTATTTTCGCATGAATATGCTCCCATCTTGAAACCTTCGAGCATTACCCTTGTAGGCCAGCTTCTCCGGCTCTTCATACTCACGCTTCTCGGCCTCCTTATTTTTCCATGCAAATGTGTATTGCTTCCCTCTTCAGCTATCTGTATCTATCACACCATTGATCGCAATCAGTGTCGATACGTAGGAAATTTGAGATGCCATTCCGCATCACCTTGTGACGTGTAAGTATCTTCGCTGCGACAAAGTACTGATCTTAGTCTATGTTGGTTCTCGTGACGTACGCACTTCGAGACCACTGGAGACACATCTTCTGTGTAGTTTGATGTATTTTCTTTTGTGTAAAACTACTACCGCAGACAACCTTATTTCAGGCGCGGTCAAAGTCAATCAGGTCAAACCGTTTGGGAATGTTTCGTTAAGAAGGCTAAATTTGCCAACAGTCGTACCAAACATATCTTCTTTGCCCACCCGGGTGTTAAAATCGCCAAGCTCAATTTTCATATCGCGACGGGGTAGCCTTCTAGAAGTTCGGGGAAATCGTTTTTGGTCATATCGGACTTCTCTACCATCGGAGCATGGGCGCAAATCAGCGACATGTTGAAAAATGTTGCTTTGATGCATGTCTAGTAAATGCCAGTACTCGGCAACGGAGTCACTCTCCCACCACAAATATTCTTCCTCTTCTTTGTTACATTTATATTTACAATTATAGCGCGCCATTCGGTTCTTCTCCTTGCTGCTTGGCCAAATTTTTAAATACCAAATGAGATGAGGTCACTCTCCATCTAATGGAGTGGAAGTCTTCCTCTTCCTCTGCTTCTACCGGCGGTTAGTGCATCGAAAACTTTCAAAGCTGGAGTATTCGGATCCATTTGGAACACATGACGCAGACAGCGGAGCGATATTCGCGTTACCAATGCTCAAAGAACCATAAATCGTTCGCAAAAGCTTTCTCTCGAAATCTCCTAACGCCGACTCATCAGATGTTGTCATTGGCCATGCCTCCGCACCATATAGCTGGACGGGAACGAAAAGGGACTTGTAGAGTTTGATTTTCGTTCGTCGGGAGAGGACTTTATTTTTCCACCGCCAACTCAGTCCCTTGCACACAATACGCTTGATAGGACCTTATATGCTATGTTAAGAAGGCGTATGCCTCAGTAGTTGGCGCAGACTGTGGAAACCCACCAAAAATACAACACCTAAATTTTCGCTCCTTTATATGGCCATCCATCGCACTTCTAAGGCAATGGTAATGTTAGCTTATATAGGCTTTTTATTATTTTTCTTTGGATTATACTCGTATGTTTCAGGTGATGGATCCCAAACCCTGCACACAACCGCAAGTGGAATTCGCCTTCTCACTTTAACTCGCTTCCAAACGGATTTTTGTTGGCTATCCAGAGGTCACTTGGTCTAGGACCGGAAGCCACCACACGTAAAGGAATTGTTTCCGCCACTCCCAGAGGAATGGCGGTCAAAACTTTCCTTAATTGCGTGAGGCTATTCAAACGGCGCATCTTTCATGCTTTTTCAGTTATGCAGTGAGATTCGATGAAGGTGCTTTAGCAGAAATCTTTAAAATGGTGAGGAAGTATTGTGGTAAATTTGATGATGTTTTTTGTGACTAACAGTACATTTATTAAGAACAGAAATATTATAAACCAATTGTATATGGCTTTTTCTTTTTTAAAGAATTTAAGCATTTCCATAATACGCATTTTAATGGATTACTTACATACTTACTACTTATAAATGCGTTCAATTACAGTTGCATATTTCTCTAATATTACTTTCCTGCGCGACTTCAGTGTTGGACCCAATTCTCCGGTGGGAATTGAAAAGTCATGCGGAAGGAGGGCGAATTTTTGTACTTTTTGGGCATTGGAAAGAGCACGTGTATTAGCGCGTTTAATGGCAGCGTCTATTTCCGCCACTATCTTCGCATCAGGCTGTACCAAGATATTAGCATCATCAAGCGCACTCACATCGGCTGGTATATTGAGAACCTCCGATAATAGTGAGTACTTAAAGCCCAAATTTTGTAGCCAAGATATAGTATCAGAGTGCAGGATATCCAAAGGTAAGCCAGTGTGTGGATCCATATCGGTCTGAGGGGATATAGTAAAATATTGTATTGGATATTGTACAAAACTAAAAATATTTTAGGAACTACCTTCAACGTTAATAAAATACTAAGGTATTTGCGATGATCCCCTACTAGCAGTGCATTGCTAACACAGGGTAATTCCGCCTTAACTAGATTCTCAACATGTACGGGTGGGATGTTCTCTCCACCGGCTGTAATTACTAGTTCCTTGATACGTCCGGTAATTAGTAGATTTCCATCCTCGTCCACATAACCCAAATCACCAGTGTGGAACCAGCCGTCTTCTTTCAAAACTTCTGCTGTTTTCTCCACTTCATTAAGGTAACCCATCATGGTGGAACGACTGCGGAGACAGATCTAGAAGATATAGGGAAAAATATGGTTGCAGATGCGTATGTTACCAACCAATTTTACTTTATACAATGCTTCAGTATCATGCATTTCACTTTCACTTACCTCACCGTGCCCGTCTTCATTCGGTTCGTTGATTTTTATTTCAACACCATCAAAGGCTTTTCCACAACTTTTCAAATTGCCGATGTCCCTATTTATCACTGCAGCGCCACCAACTTCTGATAAGCCGTAGGCCTCGAAAAGTGGCATGTCTAAGCTGGTAAAGAATTCTTTCAACTCGGTTGAAACTGGCGCACCGCCAGTGATTCTCCATCGGCAGCGATCTAGACCTAAAGCAACCTTGACTTGGTTTGTGATCTTCGATGCAAGCCAAAACTTCAAAGGGTGTCCGCTGCATAAAAAAAGTGGTAAGTTTCAAATAAAGACTCATCAATACCATTAAACTGTATTTACGTTTTATTCTGATGATATGCCAGAGTGACACGTCTAGCCCATTCCATGGCGGAGCGGGAGAAAGTCGATGAGTTCGCTGTTACTTGCTTCAGGCGTTCCTGCATCTTTTCGAAGACACGCGGAACACCGAATAAACATGTGGGACGAGCCTTGAGAAAAGTTTTTACTAGTGTACCTTTCATTGCATCACGATCAGCGAAATATATACACGAACCGTTATCCAAACCCATATAGCCATCAAAGATTTGAGCAGCAATGTGGTTCAAAGGCAAATACGAAACAGTAACTTCAGCTTCTTTACGGATATCGCTAATGCCGGTATCAATAATTTTAGCATTCATTAGAACCGAGTCATGACAGAGCATCACCGCCTTAGGTAGACCTGTTGTGCCGGACTATCGCAAAAAATATATGTTACTATTAAAGTTTTTCAAACGAGCTATTTACTCTTGGATCGCTTACCGTAAAAATTAGCACTGCACACTCGTTAGCGCCCACGGTACTTTCACGTCGTGCCAACTCATCACTTAGCGCACTGTCAAATTTCAAAGCAAATAGATCTTCCCAACGATAGTAACCCTCCTCGGTGCCAATAAAATCTTCGAATGGGCCATGCAATTGTATAACTGCACGCAGCAACGGCAAATTGTCCTTTACTTGACGTACTTTAGCCATCTGTGCGGCATCATCCACAACACAGACAGTGGCTTGCGATGTGGCGAGCACATGTTCCACTGACTCCGGCGAACTGCTCGGATAAATCCCCGACACAACGCCATTGGCGCATAAAGCACCGAATTCAGCATAGAACCATTCGGGGCAATTAAAGGCCAGTACACAAACTGAGGTGCGTGGCTGTAGACCAACGTGGAGCAGCATCAAGGCAGTCTGCTTAACATTTCGTTCATATTGTTGATAGCTGATGGTTGTCCAAGCGGTATTGGGATCTTTGGGATCATTCGCATAAACGAATGCTGGCTTTTCGGCGTGACGTGCGCAGCTTTCGTGAAAGAATTGTGGTATGCTTTGTGGCTCGATGGCGCTGGCCCCCTGCTTGCCCACGCGCAATTTTATCGGCTCCGTGAGCAAAGTAGAGATGTAGCTAGTGGCTGGTTTGACGCTGCTCACCGCATTTGAAACATCTGAGCTCTCACTCATCATTCTTGTTGGCGAATTCAAGTTGTTTGTTTACACGATTAGCGGGGATTGATATTCAGTATTGTTTATTGTTATTTTGGTTCCCGCTGAAATTTAAATAAGTTTTTAAAAATTAATTGTCAATATTAATAAAAAGTAAGTGTATAATATAATCATATTGGGTACAGGATAGATAGAATGCATATATCCCATCGGTCGGCTTATGGGAGAGGAGAACGTGAAGTAAAAGCAGTGGATGCATGAGAACCCCCCGTGCTGTTGCTAGCTAAGAGAAATCTCTGTAAATACTTAGATGACTAAACCTTTGTTTTCCTCCTCCATCTACTGATTGTGATACCTGAAACAAGACCTCTTAAGTCAAAACGTCGCGTAATTGTTGCCCGACTTCGCACATATTCTTGTATTAGTAAACCATGGAGATTATTAATATAAAATTTGATCGAATCCTGAGATATACTTTTGGATATACCACCGTCCCTTACAAATGAGACTTATATGCACGTTTAATTGCTGAACTATTTGTAGAGTTGGCGTTAACTTTATCCGCACTTGTGGTTCGAGGCATGCATGAATCAAGCTTCTAAAAATATCTCAATTCTTACTGTGCTATCACATGAAGAATCTTTATATGCTTTGTGTACATGATACAAAAGAGTATAAAAAGATGCCATCAACGGGTAAAGCTTTGGAGCCCAACATAACGGTAATAGCGGCCAATGATTGTGGTAACCAATTCTCCACACCTCGCCAATTATTATGTATTTTGGAATGTGACGTATGGAGAGGAGCATTAGGTCAAAATAAAAATATATTTCCACAGGTTTAATTTACAAGAAAAGTAACAAAAATTTAAAACTGATACAAATTCTTACGAAGTCAGCTATTTTTAAGGAGACTTGCCACCAAAAATTTAATTACATTCTTAAGATAAACTAAATCTTGAAAATTGCTGCAAAACAGCCTGAAGTGATATACGAGGTGTGACAATTAAGTAATTAGACGGGTTCCTTAAAAACCTTATATATCAATATTATTCTACCTCTGCCATCCCTTTAAACTAGTCCCCTTGGGCAGTTATATAACGACTCAAGCGCGTTTTTCATTCTTCGTAACATTTCTGGAACGCTTCGACTGAGATTTCCTCAAGTACTCTCGTCACGGCGGTGTGGCACACCCTATTGACTCGTTTTCGCAATCTTTCGATTTAAGGTTTGCCCCGGTGGAAGAAATTCTTTTGGGGCGATTCCACTTCTATTAAAAATGGCAATAATCATCGTTTTCACCTTCGACTTGCTCATGCAAGGGCGGGGGGCGTGTGGAGACAACCTTTGTGAACTTTGGCGTTTTGTTTCCGCGTTGTAGTGAACAAACCAGCTCTCATCGCCTGTAATAACTCGATCAATCAGTAAAGAATCTTGTTCCAAACAGTCTTCTGCGACGGTGTTATTGATTTCGTTTTTCCATTTTCGTGACGAGCACCACAAACACACGTTTACTTAACACGACACTGCAAGAGCGATAGCAAATATATTACTGGAGAGGAGAAGGGTGCCGGAAGAAGGGAAGGGGAATTTCAAGGCCGTAGGCTTAGCAAAACCTCGGCAATATAATCAGTCGACTGAAAATCGCTTCAGCGGTTACAAAGCGCCAAATTATTATAATCCAACCGAACGATGACCTGAAGAAGCATCTAGTGAAAAAAACACACCAAATACAAGCGATAAGAGAAATTTATAGCATTCACGTTTAAACAATTATTGCAAGCATTTGAAAAATAATAATAATTTTTTAGACATTAGAATCATGAAATCTGGTTCAGAAAACATTCTATTTTTAACCGATGAAAAAGAACACGCATTACAGTTTACAAAGCAGACTGATTTTATATTATTTTTCTCTTTGAATTAGAAACATTTCTCAAATATATTTAGATATAAAAATCTTACCCTGAGGGTGAAACAGTTTATGGATTTACTGATTTTCGTGAGGTGCTATGGTGCACTCTTGTAGTACCCAGTGAAGTGACCTAGCCACCGATGCCCAGAGTATATTGAATTTATGGAGCGAACACTTCTCCAGCTTGTTGAATATCAGTGGAAATGGAGAATCCGGTGATGGTGAACTAGAAACCACAATCTATGACAATGAAGATGTTCGAATAGCAATCGGCCGCTTAAAAAAGTGGCGAATGCTGACGGCTTACCGACCGAACTATTCAAACATGACGGTCAAGAGCTGACAAGGTGCATGCATGAGCTACTTTGCAGAATATTGTCGGACGAAAGCATGCATGAAAGCATGGAATTTAAGTATACTCTGTCCAATCCATAAAAAAGGAGACCCCACAGTCGCGCCAATTACTGTCTGATAAGCCTCCTTAATATTGCTTATAAGGTCCTGTCGAGCGTACTGTGTGAAACAACCTTAGCAGCGTGGCTCCAGACCTGGTAAGTAAATTATTGACCAGATATTAACTCTGCGCCAAATCTGGGAAAATACCCGTGAAAAGACGATCGACACCCACCATCTCTTAGCCGATTTTAAAGCCGCCTTCGACATCACGAAGCTATGCCTTGATTTCGTATCCCCGCAAAAGTTATACAGCTATGTAAGCCGAAAAAAATTGTTTAAGTGGATTATTAGTTTAAAGCAGAGATGGTCAACTAAAGTATCGAGGTCATTTCGTTTTGTAAATGTGAAAAATATACTCAACGTCATTACGTTTCGTTATCTTCGACGCCATGGACGCCGGAAATTAATTGTTAATGTTGAAACTGTACAAGCTCATCGTCAAGGTTAAGGTGCTGCTTACTATGATATTCTCGCACACATCAATTTTAACATTAAACATTTGCTGTTAACGTTATAACATTAACTACAGCTTTACTTTTCGGTTAAAAATGAGATAAAATTTATTTTTTTAACTGCTTTAGCGATAACATTTTCAAATCTTTCAACCAAAACGATTAAAATTTAAAGTTAGTATTCAATGAAAATATAAAAATCAATTTTGCTTCTAGCTAAAGAAAAGGCATGAAAGAAGCGTAACATATTTTAAATAAATTTCACAATAAAAAAATTAAAAAAATTGTTGACTTAAAACTGTGCAACGAGGTTTCTGTTCCGAATCGCTCTACGGTCTATTTCGAGGACACTTTAGCCTGGATCAACTTAATCTTTTTTTCAGCTTCAAAACTGCTATTATAATTTTCTTTTTCCAGTGCTCTTCATTTTTTGCGTAAGCAATTCTTTATTAGAATTTTTAACGCATAAACCTTTGATATTTTATTTACCTTCTTCAAATAAAAGCCTTTTAGATAAAGATGGTTTATTATTAATTGTTTATTATTAATTTTACTCACTTCACACTTTTCTTTTTAAATTAGTCTCTTGTGCACAACCGCTAACTTCAGCAATTGAAATTGTTTTGAAAGTATTTATTTAGACAATTAAAGTATTTATTGTCGTGGACATAACCTACAATTGGGCATCAAATGTGAAGGATTATCTGTTGCGTTGGTCTCAAAAAATTAAAAATAAAAAAAAATATATAATAAATAACATACAAATATATAAGCGTATAATCTTAATCTACACCAATACATGATAAATGCTTTAGTGGCATGGTCCACAAGGGATTCAGCGCTCTTATCAGTGGTAACAGAATAAGTCACAACAGCAGCAGACGACCGAATGTTTAGCAAGCTAGACTTCTCAATAATCATATGAATACATTATATACATACATGATATGCCAGGCGCTAGTGGCGGTAATGTTGTTGTCGCTTTGTTTTGTTATTGTAACTTTAAGATCAAAGCATGAAGTTCAGCGATAGGCCAATAATTAAAACAGGGTTTTCCAATAAGTGATGTTATTTTGTTATTTAATGCGACTTTTCCCTGAAAAGTTCGAGGTGTCGTTAGTCTTGCCACACAAGCCAGACCTTAAACCACACCAAACAGTTACACGTTGAGGATGGAAAAGCTATTCAACGATGTGACAGTTTTAACATTTGACGTAGCCATCGAGGTGAAAATAGGCCTCAATGAAATTTTTATAGTGTGAGTAATTAAAGCGTGTATCGTTTTTATTACTGGCACAATTTGTACTTGTCAATTGTCAAAAAGTTACAAATTCAAAAGTGACATTTACCGGAATAACAGGGTATTCAAAATAACAGCTCCTATTAGAAAACCCTGTATATGCCCAGATTTTTCGAATGGACCGAGATGCATTATGGTCAATGGTTCTTTGAAAATATTTAGTTTCAATGAGTAACTGTCATCTGAATGAAATCTTTTCCTTCTATAATGACTCAGCATTTTTTTGCACTATGCTCTCAAGCATACTGATTAGACCGCTCAGTTTGTTGACTTCTAAGGATCACTGATATGCCACGAGAGTGAAAATGTTGTGGACGTTAAATGAATGATTTCGATTGTACCATAATATTTTACTTTTTTCCCTTCAAAGAGATTCATTTATTGAATCTGCTTAATTTAAGCCTAACATTAAGTTTAAGAATTTAAAAAAAATAATAAATTACTACTTTAGCCCATTAATAGCAATGGCCGTCAGGTAAAACGTTGCTCTTCAATATACCGGCAGATCCCTTCACCGAAGGCGAGCTCGACTTGCTGGGCAGGATAAAATGTTTGCTAGAGGATTCGGATGGTTTTGCAGTTTCGATAGGTATTTTTGACAGGTGTTTCTCATTTCTGTGTTTACCATTGGTATTTCAAGATCTCTATGTATGTGTGTTTTCGTTGCGCATGTACCAAGGCGCACCAGTCAGGTATCGTAGCGTATAAGTTTGGAATCGCTGTATTTTCTGGACACTAGTGCGCAAGCAGAACCCCATAATTGTATTCTGAACTTTCATATTGGCTTTATGACAGAATTATATAGAAGGATTTTATAATTCGAGCATAAAGGTGAATTTTTCACTAATTTTTGCTGCCAGTTTTAAATTTGAGGTGCTGTATTTTAGCAGAAATATGACTTTTCCAGGTAAGTCGCTTATCTAGGTGGATGCCGAGTTATTTTACTTCGCTTGCTTCTGGTACCATTACGTCGTTTAGCTTCAGTATTGGTCTTCAGAGTGAATGTGACATGCTTACACTTTTGCGCGTTCACTTTTATGCGCCAGCTTGACAGCCATCAATAGAGGTATCGTCTGCAAATGTTAAAGTTAGTACTTTTGCGGACGTCGGAATGTCTCCTGTAAATAAGACATATAGTATTGGTCCCAAAATGGTGTATAGATAAGACACTCCTCTTAGACAAATTTTTCTTACTATAACTGTAAATCTTCTGTTAGTAAGGTATAATATGAAGATTTGAAGGAAATTTTTTGGCAAGGTCATTTTATATATTATTTCATTCCATAATTTATCGAATGTTTGAACGAAAGCAAGAAATACTGCTGAGCAATACTCTTTCAAGTTTTGCAAACGATTGCATTATGGCAAATGAAAATATGAGGTATACGAGTTATTTGATGACATTGACAGCGGCTAAGCTAGCTACTGTCATGTCGTCCGAAAGTACTCCAGCCATGAAAGCATTCGATGCTGTACCCACTGGTGGCAGCAGAGGAATAGAAAACCCTCTACTTCGTTGGAAGGATGAGGTGAAGAGCGACCTGGTTTCGCTAGGTATTTCCAACTGGCGCCAAACAGCAGAAAGAAGAGATGAATGACACGGCTATAATCAGGTAACCTGTGACTACGCCCCTAAAGAGAAAGAAGAAAATTCGAATAATAAGTGGTTTCAAGTGCAGGATGCGGTCAAGAAAAAGAGATGTGACTTTATTATGAAGCCTTTTTTCACTTTTTTGTCCTATTTCTTCACAATTTACATAAGAGCAAGGCAAATCAATTTATGCATATTTCATAACTGTTTAACAGAACAGGGTAAATATTATATAGCCGGTGAGATACACATGACTTCATCACACTGAAATCAGCTTTTATTAATCATAAATTAGTTGTCAGTTGGAAGACTGAACCCAATTGCTACATCCACGTAGCTTACCCTGGAACATCAGCAACTTCTGTGCAAAATGCGTGGGGAGCTTAGGGGTCATGGCAAAAAGAGAGGAAGTTTCTGTGGAACCACTCTGGTTTATACGGTTTAAAGGTTCACTGAAGTCTAACTGGGGCGATTGTATCTACACCAGAGGTGCGGCTGGGAGCAGGTGCTGGTCTTGAAGCAAGCGGCTGGGTATACAATTATGTGCAAAAATTAAACTTACTTGACTAGCGAGGTTAAGCGCAGTTTTGTGGACTCGCCATGTAGAAACCGGCCACAAAGAAAGTTATAGCCAGGCTTCAGAGAAGAGACCCCACTTTTGATGACGACCACTGCAAACGTATTAAGGATTATGATATTGGAGGGTGCAGGAGCTCGTTCATATTCTCGTAAAAAGATGCTAGCTTTCACCAGGAAATCGTACTTGTCAAATTTAACGGCAGGATGGTCAAAAAAAAGATTTTTGAAACGACGATCGGAAAATTCAGTATCCATGACGTCGACCTGAGGCTGGACGATCTCAACCATATCGACCAAGTGGTAAAGGCGGAAGAAACGTCTGCAGTCTCTTAGATCTGCGCACCCTGTGAGTTCCTAACATTGACCCCGATCACTATTTCCTTAAGATTCACTTCTGCCTCTCTACAGCACACGTCAACAAACACATGATAGATTGGATGCCACCAAAGCTGCAACCACTACTTATAGCGATTGTGGTAGCGTAATGGAGAGAAAAAAAATGTCTGTCTACTTCGCAACATTGCGATCAAACACAAAATGGGTGGCTGTGTTAGATATCGAAGTTGTAGAGGGAAGCAATACGTTTAGTCAAAAAAAGAAACATGCGAAAATTTGGGAGTATAAAGAACAATAGCGAAAGTACTCGAAAAGTCTAAGAAGTCACATGAGAATGAGAAAGGTGAACTGGTGACTGGTTAATGGTAATACTGAGATTATGGAGAGAGCACTTCTCCAGCCTGATCAACTGCTGTGAATGTCAAACACCCGGATATGGTGAGCCCAGAACCGAGCCATAAATATCCTTTTTTCAAACTTCTTCTACTTCTCAAAAAGCAAAAAAATTCCAGCAACCTGAAACATAAATAATATTTTTAAGAACCATTTTCTGCATTTTAGTCTGAATGATAAGTAATCAATAGGTACAAATCTCCTGTGAATCGAATCATAAAGAAGATATCCTCATATTCGGTCCCTGGTCCACTTCTCGGAATGAAGTTAAACTTTTTTTTATCGCAAAAATTGCGTATTTAAAAACCAAATCGATGCAGTCCCAATTCAGGAAAAACTATAATTTTTTCAACAATGTTAATATTCTTGTGGCTATTTAGGTATGTGCTCTAGGTTTGGGACCCGCCACATAGAAACCAGCCCGCAAACGAATTACGGATCATGATTTGAGGGCATGCAACTGGAATATCCGGTCTCTTAATTGGGAAGTTGCCGCTGTCCACCTGGTTGATGTCCTCATAAAATTAAAGGCTGACATCACCGACGTCCAAGAAGCGCGAAGGATGGAACAAGGACGGACATTTACCACAACGGCGCTCATAGTTGGGGTCGGATTTGTGGTGGGAGAGAGACTCAGTCGGCATGTACTGATATTCCCCGCGGTGGATGGAGGTTTCGCTATAATTCGCATCAAAACAAAATTTTTCAACATATCCTTGATATGCGCCCACGACCCGATGGAAGACAAGGAAATTAAGGTTGTCTGCACAAAAACCAGATTGGTCATGTTGTGATAGACGAAAGAAATGTCCATTGTTCTTGACGAAAAACTGCAATCACAACAGACTGTCAAGCAGTTTTCCACTCTTTGAGAGCACTCATCATCAAATTCAATATACGGGAACTCTGGGACGGAATTTCAAGCTCCCTAAGGACACAAAAATCTGGTACGATCGACCACTACACGTGAGAAGATACGATTGCTTACAGAAAGTTTCAAGACTGGAACAGACTCTTGTAAGACACAAAGTGGTCGATCCCAGGATCTACCAACCGATGCCCAGAGTGCATTGAATTTATAGAGGGAACACTTCTCCAGCTTGTTGAATAGCAGTGAAAATGGAGAATCCATTACCTGACCGTGAAAAAATTTGAATACCAATCGCCCGCTTAAAAAACAGCAAAGCGGAGGGAGCTGACTGCCCAACGCCACAGTTATTCAAACTTGACGGTGAAGAGCTGACAAGGTGCATGCATCAGCAACTTTGCAGAATATAGTTGGACGAAAGCCTGCCCAATCCACAAAAAGGGCGATCCCACAGTCCGCGCAAATTAATGTTGAATAAGCCTCCTTAATATCGCATATAAGGCTCTATCAAGCGTATTGTGTGAAAGACTAAAAACTCACCGTCAACAAACTGATTGGACCTTATCATTCTGTCTTTAGACCAGGTAAATGAACCATTGACCAGATATTCACACAACGAATAGAAGTTGCCTTTACGCCGCTATGTCTGGACATGGTGTTGCCGAAAAACTTTTACGACTATGTAAACTGACCGTAAGCAACACCAAAAGCTCCGTCAGGATAGTCCGAGCCGTTCGATGCCAAACGAGGTTTCAGACAGGGTGTGATCCCTATTTTGTGATTTCTTGCATCTATTGCTGAAAAAAATAATAAGATCTGCAGAGCTGAATAAAGAAGGTACAATCTTCTATAAAAGTATTAACACCAACAACAACGTCGGCATGGAAACTCAACGCAGAGAGTCCTTCTTGACAATTAGTGCTCTCTCGACGAATGAAAACCCTATTCTACAAGTCGCGTATCGTTCCCGTCCTGCTATATGGTGCGGAGTCATAGACGATGACAACAGCTGATGAGTCGGCTTTAGAAGTTTTCGAGATAAAGGTTTTGCGTAAGATTCACGGTCCTCTTCGAGTTATTCAACGGCATTGACATATATCAGCGAATCAAGGGAAAGTGGCTACGCTGGCTACGTATTTTGGTATGGAGGGATAAGATATGATAAGAATAAGAAGAAGCTTTGAAAGTTTTCGATGAAGTACCCGCCGGTGGAAGCAGAGGATGAGGAAGACCTTCCATTGGAAAGGCCAGGAAGAAAACAAATGGCGCGATGTTATAAATGCTGCTGTAATTGCGTAAGCAAGTTAAGTAGGTACGTAGGTATGTAGATAAGGGTTTCCCATTGGCCGAAAATGCACATTTACTAAATAGAAATCTTCCCTTCTGAGAGTTATTTTTTCACTCACTTTATATTTGGTGCTTTGTGACCCTTGTAGAATGGTACAAATCCCAAAACAGTTTCTGAACCCTAAATAAGATTTTCTCGAAAATATCGGTCACTGGTACACTACTTGGAAAATAAATTGGTGTTTTTTTCTAATTTAAACTATCATTTCTACCATAGGCACAATTTCTAGGTCAGTCCGTAATCCACTTCTCGGTGTGAAAAATAGATGTTGGCCGATACGCACAAAAATATCAGCCAGCCGTTTCGGAGCAGTTTATAGTTATGTCACTCATACAAGTTTTCAATTCTTAATTAGATTATACTATCCGCAAAACAAAGTAAAAAATTAAACAAAAAAAAAATTTTTGAAAAAAATCTTTCACTTAATTTTATTCATAAAGACGTTCGATAACTTTAGCGTATTTCTGCAAAATAACGTTCCTTCGTGACTTCAAAGTGGGCCCTTAAATGAGTTAAAAAATAATTTCAATATTTTTTTCCTTGAAATTCACTCAGGTACTACAACTCACCTAATTCAGCCGTGGGTATTGAAAAATCGTGAGGTAAAACTGCGAATTTCTGAACTCTTTGAGCATGCGACAAGGATTTTTCATTCGCCCGCTTTATGCCCTCCTGTATAGCTTCTAATACCTTCTGATCAGGTTGTACTACTACCGTTGCAGCATCGAAATCTAACAAATCCGCTGGTATGCGCAGCACTTCAGAAAGGCGAGTGTAACTGAGACCCAGTGTCTTTAACCAATCAATAGCTGCTGGTTGCAGAGTGTCCAGAGGCATACCGGTTTGCGGATCCATATCGGTCTGATGTATTGGAAGAGTGGAAGTAATATATTTATGTGAACTTAGAGCGTATTCAGTGTGCATTTCACCTTTATTGTCAGCAGTATTGTGAGATACTTTCGATTGTCACCCACGAGTATGGCATTACTCACGCAAGGCAACTCCTTTTTCACCAGATTTTCCACATGCACCGGTGGTATATTCTCACCGCCCGCTGTAACGATGAGCTCTTTCAAACGACCGCTTATGATGAGGCCACCATTGGGACTTAAAATGCCAATGTCGCCAGTGTGAAACCAACCATCGGCGTCTAAGGCTTCTTGAGTTTTTTGCGGTTCATTCAAATATCCCATAAATACATAACGTCCAAGGAAGCAGATCTGAATAAAAAAAGTGACTGTGTGTTGAATTTTTCCTAAAGAGACGCAGACAAACTCACCTCGCCAGAATCTACTCCTTCGTTCTTATCAATTTTGACTCCCATACCCGGAAATGGCTTTCCTGTGGCTTCTATTCGACGGGACTCCATTGCTATTGTTGCTCCACCCGTAGTCTCAGAGAGCCCATAAGCCTCCAGTATTGGCAGATCTATACTCAGGAAGAATTCTTTCAGTTCGCCCGAAGTCGGGGCCCCACCAGCGCTCATCAGTCTGCAGCGATCTAAGCCCATAGCTTGTTGAATTTTTTGCGTCACGAAAGAAGCTAACCAATATTTAACAGAAGAAACTGGTTTGCTAAATACACCAAATAAATATATTCATTTCAAATATTTCATTCATTAATCATATTTACAAATATACACAACTCACCCTCTTCCATCGTGGTTCAAGTGGCATTCCATCATTGCGTATCGTGCACATCTCAAAATTTGTTGCTTGAGCCACGAAGACTCGGCCTCAACTTGTTTCAGGCGTTCGCGCATTTTTTCCAACACACGCGGTACAGCGAAGAACCTGGTCGGTCGTGCGGCGACCAATGTTTTTATCAAACTTCCACGGAGAGCGTCACGATCTGCAAAATACACGCAACCACCATCATTGAGGCTGACCATTATGTCGAACATTTGTGCGGCGATATGGCTCAGTGGCAAAAAGCTTACAGTTATCTCAGTCCCATCGATAAAATCTACATTTAATGGCAAAGCTTTGGCATTTGCTACTATGTTATCGTGCGACAGCATAACCGCTTTAGCCAAGCCGACAGTACCGGACTGTAAATGTTACAAAATGATATAATTAGTAAAAAATTATATGCAAGGGACTTAATGAGTATGATATGACCCAGAAAGAGAGAGGGAGAGAGAGAGAGGAAAAGTAGTTACCTATCCCTACTAACACATGACACCTCCCTACCGAAAGAAACTGCATCTAAGACTACTCATTACTAAATAGTTTTATTACCATATAATAATGTTTTTCATATTCTCAAATTAACTGCATTTAAAATTTTAGACTACTGATCAAATAGATTCTAAAAAAAAAAGTTTTGATAAACAATCAAATATCACTAGAGTGATAACCTTTAATTTTAAAGCGAAGCCCAATAACACAGTAGCCTGGTTTTATGCCTGTCTCATTCAGCCATCTTGCCTGCTTCTTTGGCAAAGGCCAGCTTGCCATGGACAAAGAGAAACTTGCATAGCATGTTATATTGTAGAAAGAAAAGAAGTTTCTATCTCCCGCTAGTTCGTCTGCAATGCAATTGTCTGAAATGTCACTTTGTCCGAGTACCACAGCAGTGTTGGATTTAGTCGAGATTTTGTTCAGATTGATCTGTTAGTCCCTTGATCATATTTATTGAGAGCATCCGAGAGAATTTTCCACAGTCTACTTTTCCATCTGGCTTTGAGCCTCTGTAAAGATGGCAATGGCTCACTGATCCAAGACTATGATGTTTTCCCATTAATTTCTGTTCGGGATTCTCATTGAGAAACGATTGTCAAATCACATAATAGAGGAGTTGTAGTCCAGGTCCTTCAGCTTCTTTGCAAGGTATAATATTTTAGTGTGTACTATACTGCAGTTCTTCAACGTTGAGTTGCATTCAATCTGTTCCTGTTTCCAGGATAGAAGCCGACCGTTAAACCTTCTCGAAGGTAATTTTATCGAGTGTGGGACGCTTTTCTGGAAGCGCAAAGTGTAGTTACAGACTTCCTTGACTTTTATGCAGTGTTTCGATTCCAGTTGGGTTTGTTATATAAGATTATCAGAAGATAATAGACTTCGCCCCTTTAGTATAGATGGCTTAAGACGAGGAATAAAACCATTTCGATTTTTTCGCGGCCAACGTTCAGCTCATCGTCCAGCGCACCCAGTTCTCAACTACATATGTGTAGCACATTTTGGAGTAGATCGGTTAATGTTTGTAGGTCTTTGCTTGTTACTGTTAGGGCAAAAACGTCAGCTTATTCCCTTATACTGTAGCCTGTGCTGTTTAATTTTCTAATCGACGTACTTACTGATAGACTCTACAGCAGTGGTGATACTAACACTGCCTTTCTCTGCGAAGATGATTTAGAGGAGACTCTATTTCTTGTAGAGCTTCTATTATGAGAATTTAAGAAGAATATTGTAAGAAATCTCTTCAACGACAAGCAGCTTTATCAAGATTTTTAATGAGAAAGAGGTAAGACTAATAAACGGAAAGTTCTTTACACTGCCTCATTTTGGTATAAATTACTTAAGCCGCAGTCACAAAGATGACTGTAAATTTTACATAGAAGTGGAAATAAGATGTCCTCAGCCGTTTGTAGTTTAGCGGGGAAGATCCCATCTAGCGCTGAAGATTTGAAGGATTGGAATGAGTTGTTCATTATCTGGCTTCTAGATGTAGTTTGGGATAGCGGAGTTCTTGGAGAGAACTTTCTTAAGAGTGTTGCCGTCTGTTCTTCATAAATGTCACTGATTTAGACCTTCCAGGTTTTGAAATACAGAAACCAGGGATTAGAAATATTTAGCAAGGTTTAAGCGAACAAACTGAAGTAAATTTTTATAAAAGCGGTAGACTCTCGGCATTGAATATCCATCCCTCCTAGTGTATTTCTGACATGAAATAAAGGTTCCTCGTAAAAAACCGTCAGCGATTCGGAAGTGGCTTAGTATAAGCTGTAGGTCCCTCCATTTGTTTGGAAATACAGCAGGACGAAAAACCACAAATTGTAGGAGAAGCTCAGTCGAAAATCGCTTCAGCGGTTACAAAGCGCCAATTATATATATACACGTTTATTACCACTTGTATATTCTATTACTTTCACTTCTGCTAATATCATTTTCTGCTAAAGCCCTGATTTCTTCTCTAATAACACTTACATTTTCTCAAGTTCTCTCAGTGTCAAACTAATTATCTTATAAAGAACTTTAAATAAATAAGTAGCAAACATATTTTCTCCTTAAAGACTACTTACCGTAAACACCAGCAAAGCACACTCATTAGCAGCTATATTGCGCTCACGCTTTATGAGTTCATCTTTCAATTTGGCGTCGAATTCCAAAGCCATTAAGTCCGACCAGCGATAGTAACCCGGCGTGTTGCCCACAAATTCCTCAAACGGCCCGTGCAACTGTATAACGGCACGCAAATGCGGTAAACTACCGCTAACTTCGCGTACCTTAGCCATCTGCTCCGCATCATCCACCACACAGACGGTCGCTTCCGCCGTTTCGAGCATATGCCGCACTGCTTCCGTTGAACTGGTCAGATATAATCCGGTCACAACGCCACCAGCACGCAGCGCACCCATTTCGGTATAAAACCATTCCGGGCAATTGAAGGCGAGTATTCCGCATGTTGTGTGGGGTCGTAAGCCTACGTGCATCAACGCAAGGGCTACCTTTTCCACATTCTGTGCATATTCAGCATAGGTTACTGTCGTCCACGCACATGGAATATTGTTCTCCTTGTTGTTACTTTTATTATTGTTTGTTTCATTATCATAAACCAAAGCTGGCAGATTGGCATGTTTGCGACAAGTTTCATGGAAAAATTGTGGTATGGTTTGTGGCGGGTCTGTGGCGATAACTTCATCAGACAAGCGGAGTTTCACTGGTTCCGTTAGAGAGATCGATGTATAGGCTGTGGCTGCTTTGAGGAAAGCCCCTGAAGGTTTAGGGGTTGACTCGTCATTATCCATAATTGATACTGAACTTGTTCGCCTTCAAGTGCTATTTCAGTTGATAGAAACGAATAGTTTTGCTCAGTCTTGCCTAAAATACACGAATATTTACTTAAAATGAAAATGGTAACTATTTAAAAAAAGGAAAAATTTGCTGCAATGAAACTGATTTAATTGAAGTATTTCTTTAAGAGAACTTGAATGTTGAAATGCAAACATAATAAAATAAATTTGTTTGCAAATAAACTCTGGCAAGGGTAAATTTTCTTCCAAAACGAGGTTATATAATATGTAATGCTATCGAGAGTCAGCTCTTATTATCTAGAAGTTCATAAAAATATAGAAAATCTCCTGTCCTTGACAAGTTGACTGAATTAATTCGTCCGTTTCATAATGCCTGCGGGTGGAGAATTTATTATAAAGCCAACAAAAGAATCATTGTAGGCGAGTCTTTCAGATTTTTCTCACAAGAGAAAAAAAATAGACCAATTTTAAAGATCAATTTTCTTCGAACCACTCTAAAATAAAACTGGATTAAGTATTTTACAAAGTCACTTTCGTTTAAAGGAAATAAGACTATATTCAAATAGAAAGTAATAAAGTTATTACTTAAGGAAATCTGTAATCCTAGAGGAATGCTTTCTGCCCACCTATGTTTTAGCCTCAGGCAGACGAGCCTTGTATCGAGTCTTGCTAACTCTTAAGTTTATTTATAATATGTTCTCACAGAGGAGGTTTTGATTGTAAATAACCAATAGGAGCTTTCACGGGGAAGTCAAGATTGTAATATCTTTAACTATATCTCACATTCTTTTAAAAAGAATTTACACAAAATTCAACAGATTGGCGACCGAAATCTAGTGAACCCGAGAGACTGATCGTGAAAGGTCGCGGTTACTTATGCCTGTTATACTTAACAGCTACAACTATTCTAATTTAATCGAAAACTGAGGTAGAAAATATTAATTTTAAAGCTTTCAGTAAACAGTTTTTGTTATAGAAAGGTGAATCGATGGAATCACTGTTGAAAAAATGAGTATTAAAATCGTTCAACAAATCTCTATAAAGGTCGTACATATCAAAGTTGGTTTTTCATGAGCACGATAAAGGGTACAGCCCTTGTATCTAGATAAACTCAAAGACATTGTAAAATAAATGTCGCTAATTATGAACGAGCTACTGCTAACACCTCTTATCAATTTATTTAAACATAAAACTCTAAGCATCTTGGAGTGCAGGTAGATTAATGGCGAGCAAAACGACTTTTTATGAAGAGAGATTATTTTCGTAATGAAATCTCAGACTTCTTATAACTTATTGGCATCATAATTTATATGATTTACAAAACCTAGCTAAGGGTCTATTGAGAAGCCTAAATCAATGAAGCCAGTAACTTGTTCAACATTATGATTATATATCAAAGAGTTGTTGGAAAAATTTCCAAGAGAAACACGTATGTTTGCCTTTATTCAAACTTGGGGGTATGCAGTTCGCTTTCCAATACTTTACTAAATTACTTGTATATGACTAAGTAGCAAATTTTCCCTACCTTCAAGAGAACGAAATAATTTAAAGATCTTGACATCATATGCATACAAGTGTGTTTTAGAATGTAGAACCAAATTTGGATTCAAAATATTTATAAATTTAACTTTACTTTCTACGATAAAATGCATTTCATAAAAAAGGAAGAAGTAATATGTAATATTGAGAGACCTTTGCAAATTCTATGTTGAGGTCAGTGTGAATAACATTAGTCTGATAATCATTTGAAACTATTGCTAACATTAGTGGTGAGTTCTATTAGGTTCAATAAGGTAAATTTACCTTTACAAAATCCGTGATGTGTGTGATTTTAGTTATAACAATCACCTGAAACTGTGTCATTAATTTACATACATGATGCCAACGACAAAGATGATGGTAGTAAAAAACTATGGAATGACTTCAAGACTGAAGTAATTTATTTTTCGAATTCTGCTTCTGGTAACGCCGCTGATCCAAAAAAATATACTTTTTACTAATTATGGAAGCATAAAAGTCAAAAGTTTCGTTGGAGCTTTTATAGAGCATAACTAACCTAGTATTCTTATTTATTATTATTTTCAAACATTTAAATTATTCATTAAACCATAAAGCGGGGAGGTAATTTGTAATAGGAGTAAACTTTCTAAAAGCGCTTGTGAAGTCCGAACAACTTTCTTTANTACAAAATCCGTGATGTGTGTGATTTTAGTTATAACAATCACCTGAAACTGTGTCATTAATTTACATAGATGATGCTAACGACAAAGATGATGGCAGTAAAAAACTATGGAATGACTACAGGATTAAAGTTATTCATTCTTGGAATTATGCTTCTGGTAACGCCCCTAATCCAAAAAAATATACTTCTTTCTAATTACGGAAGCATAAAAGTCAAAAGTTTCGTTGGAGCTTTTATAGAGCATAACTAACCTAGTCTTCTTATTTATTATTATTTTCAAACATTTCAATTATTCATTAAACCATAAAGCGGGGAGGTAATTTGTAATAGGAGTAAACTTTCTAAAAGCGCTTGTGAAGTCCGAACAACTTTCTTTATATCTGCATTTTACTGCATTGACCATGAAACTGCAAAAAGCATACTTCTAAATTTAATATAATTCGCCTTCTTAAATAGCGCGGGTTATTTCGAAGAAGTTATTGAACATTTTAATATAAAAATTCGCGCAAAATTATCTGAAACGCTGATGAAAGGATGCCGAAGTTCGGGCAGTTGGTGGCCTTCATTTTGTTTTTGTTAAATCTAAAAATACCAAAGACTTTGCAATTACTATTAGACTTCCTTTCAAATTCTAGAACGATCGTCTAACATAGAGACGAGAAAACGCGAGTATGCTGAAGATAGATGAGATGAAATTCCACCACCAACGCTAACAAAACTTACTGGTGACAAATGTTGGTTCTATAATTACGATCCAGAAACCAAACAGCAGTCGATGGTATGGAGCCCGACAGGAGTAGAGAATAAAATTAAAAGTATAAATTTTGCGGCAGGGGACTGAGGACATTATAAATATTCTTGTAATTCGACGTATTATATTTTACAACGGAGCCATGGCTTCCGATGCCGCATAAAGAACTTCTTCAAAGTTGCTTCCTAATATTTCAAATTTATTGACATTTGCCAAGTTTAAGAGGAATCGAAGATTTTAAACTGTGTAAGTGAGTATCTAGTGCAGTTAGTTCGACCTGGTTGTAAATCTTTCAAAAACCGAACTGGTACTCTTCACTAGAAGATACAAACACCTTACTGATATCCCTCTTTTTACTGAGACTAACTACCCAGACATAATTTAAGAAAGCAAACTTATCGGAAACCGAAACACGGTAGAAAGGAGTAAGAAAGCTTCTCTTATTTTTCTCCGCAACTTTTTGCCTCGTTGGAAGACCTATAAGAAGACCTGCCTATAACTGGAAATACCTCCCTTCCTTTTAACTCGATGAGGTCACGTGACCTTCCTCCATTCTATTCTTGCCATAATGTCTTGGCCATATTACATAAATTGAGACTTTTCCAACTTAAATTAGCATCCTTTGCAAATAGCTCTCTTATATTGAGCCTCTTCCGTCATGGCGAAAGTAGAAGGGAAGTGCCCTTCCTTGAAAGCTCGTTCGCCATTTCGTTACCCTTTATGATACTGTATGTATGATACAGGTTCAGAGAAACTTCTTTCTATCCAAGATAATTACCATGAAATCTGCCCTGAAGTCAGTGAATGATATGCAGTAGTCCGTTTTTTCTGGAAGATGAAATCTTCTTAAGATGTTAGTATGCCCGTGGTTTATTACTAACCATTCGGACACCTTTTGTAGTTTAACCGCGGCGCCAGCAGTGCTGTATAGCTCCATAATGTCAATAGTAAGTGGATCTAAGCCTCGGTTCATATGGTACGAAGTGCTCCGCTGATACACAGGAACGCTGACCTCTACCCTCTATCGAGTTTGGAGATGATTATTTTTTCTTTGGCGGCTGACCACCACACTACATCCTCATATAGATGTATATTCCTAAGAACTGCGATATAGAACTAACATACTATTTTAGGTGACATATTCCATTTTTGGGCAATCGCAACTGTGTAGGTAGAGAAGACAATGGACGCACTACGAATCCTTTCCTCTAAATTTTGTGACCAGCTCAAGTTCTTGTCCAGTATGAGCCCCAGGTATTTTGCAGACTTACCTCCAAAGATCCATGCGAGCCGCAACGCCAAAAGACTATCTGCTAATACAAGGTGGGCTGCTTCTCAAATGACTTCTACTGCAGCTGCAGTAAGGCAGATGAGGAGAAAACAATGGAGTACTACATCCGTCACTATCCAGCTCCCAGTGCGATCCGTTATCTTTTTCTCGGAATTTTCTTTTTCGATTGCCTTGCTGAGCTTGCTTTGGTAGGTGTCACTAATCTTCTAGATTTCATACATCCTTAGCATGACCAACACCACAACGGACCATTAGGTCTAAGAGCGCTTGATCAGGGCTCCGCGATCAAGCAACCTGTAAAACTGAGTAACTAACTTAGTGTTCAAAAATTTGTGTCCTAATTTGAAACAATTGATAAGTTTAAGGGTAAGTCAAGAAACATCTATCTTAAAGAAAGAAATGGCCCTCTCATCGAAGAAACTACACTTCCTAATATCAAGATTGTCAGGGAACCCCAACTTATTAATATCCCCTCAATGTAGTTGAGCTCGAGGGAAATGCTGAAGGAGAGGGAAGTAATCGTTCCGGTACTAAAAAATTATACTTGGATGCAAATTAAAAGGAAATGGTAGGGTTTGGTTGTTCAGGGCAAGGAGCATTAAATGACGAAAATTTATTATTAACATTTAGACTGATTAAAGATGGAATTTTGAAGAGTGTCCGAAGCTATAGTAATTGGTTTGCATTTCTCTGGCTTCAGTTACGGTGAACTTTTGGCAGAAATGCATATAAATACATTTGAAACTTTTCATTGAGATTTTTCAATTCCTTTCAGCCGTGGAGCATATAAATTAAAATAAAGGGTCAAGACCCATTTATTAATTTATCTTTATATGTGTACGTTTACGATACTACAGGTCACATAGCCCATGCGCCATATATATCATATATATCATATCATATATATACATATAAAATACGCCGATGCAACTATTCAAAACCAAACTATGTACATAACTACGTACCTTCGTCTATAAGTATTTAAGTTGTGGCACAAGCCAATCTACTCATCATACCTAAACTGCTATACATATGTATGACATGTAAACAAAGGCATACTTATTGTACGTTTTTTGTAATATTTTTATACAATTTAACGTACTATGTATGTCGTTGTTATATCATCATTTTAGGTATTTATTTATTTGTTTGTATGTGATTTATTTGTAGATACATATAGATATCTTGTTTTTCAATAGGCGCACAGCAATTAGTAGCCGGACGATATGTGCTCATAGCACTGTTTTCCTATTGAATGAGTATATATGTATGTATGTACATACTCCCATATACAGCATATGTTAACTTACATACATTTACTATGTTATGTTTTCCATGCACTAAACTGCCAACCAAACAACAACCTTGCCTCTTGCTAATATACATGCATATGTACATGAAAATATATCTTCATATATCTATTACATTACTTGGCTCATTTTCAAACTTGTATTTATACATTTATGTACATAAGTATGTATATTTTTTATAGATGATACATACGAATATGTATACGTCATGTTTACATATGAATGAATATAAATACTTGTTCCAGTTCGAGCACATGCATGTGAGTGAATATATATATTCTTTGCTTGCGCTAAGTCGCATCGTGTTATCACTTACATACGTATTACTTGTTCGACATAAATAAATACTTGTGGTACTCGTAAAAGCCGAACGGCAGTTTCTCACGCATAAGTATGGCAAATAGAGTGTAAAGTGTGAACATATTGGATATGTAAACTGTTGTGCAGCGGAGTTTACGCATAGGTATGTAATCGAATGTCCATAAATATGTATGAATGAGCATAGTCCAGCGTGATAGAGACTGGCCTAAGCAAAACTTTGATAATAGTAAGTCAAACATACTGCATCAGCTGATCGTACTCAAAACTAACACGTACAAATTACTATAGCGTTTTCAAATATATAACAAATATTATTTTTACACTTTTTTTTTTTGAAACTTATGTGTCCATTATTAATTAATTAATTAAATTTATTATTTTCCTTTATTTTCAAACATTTTGTTTTATTTAGATATAATACAATATTTCATTTGTTTTGCTTTATTTAAATTGTTTTTATTATTATTTTTTATTCATAATTACTTATTTTTTTATTTTATCTCAATTGATTTTATTTTATTTTATTTCATAGTTTTTTTAACATATAATTTTAAGTTTTTTTCATTCTGAATTATTTTATTTTAATATAAATATTTTATTGTACTTGGTTTAAATTAATTTTTTTTTTCATTGTGTTATTACATTTTAATTTACTTTACTTTATTTTAGTTAATATTTCTTTATATTTATTTGATTTAATAGATTTTTTTTATACAATTTTTTAATATTTTGTTTTTTTTTTTTATAGTATTTCATTTTATTTTATTTTAATTTAATTTAATATATTTCTTTTAACTTAATTTATTTTACATTATGTTATTTTATTTTCTTTAATTTAATTTTGTTTAATTTCATTTTACAAAATTTTATTGAACCTTATTTTACTTAATTTTTTTTATATTTTTCAATTTTCTTATTTTACTAATTTTATTTTTTATTATTTTGTTGCAATTGATGGTATGTTAATTTAATATGTTTTATTTTCTTCAACTCTGCTCCACCTTTTTTTGATTTATTTTATTTAATAAATTTTATTTAATGTTATTTATTTTATTTTGTGTTCTTGTTTGTTTTTTAATATATATATAATTTTTTTCGTTTTGGTGTATTTTATTTTTATATTTGAATTTATTTTATGTTATTTTATTTTAGCGTAACGTATCTTATTTAATTTCGTTTTCCTTTATATTATTTTATTTAATTTTTTAAATTATTTTAATTTACTTCATATTATTATATTTCATTTCTTTATAAAATTTAAAAATTTCTTACTAATTTTTTTGTATTCAATTATTTTAACTTCTTCATTTGGTTTTATTTGATTGTATATGAACTAATATATTTTATTTTCCTCAGTTTTACTTTATTTCATAATTTTGTTTTATTTTATTGTAATTTATTTCATATATTTTTTTTCACTCAATTTTACTAAAGTTTTTTTTCTTTATTTTAGTTAATATTATCTCATTTTGTTTAAACGTATTGTATTTTGTTTAATTTTGCTTTGTTTCATTTTAATTCATTGCATTTTTTATTTAATTTTAGTTTACTTTATTTGATTTATTTTAAGTTATTTTATTTCATTTACTTTAATCTATTTAATTTATTTTACTTTATTTATTTTATTTTATATTATTTTATTTTTTTTTATTTAAGTTTTTTATTGAATATTTTTTATAATATCTTCTTTTACCTGGTTTTATTTAAATTAGTTTTATATTGAGTTATTTTTTTTATTTAATATAATTTAATAATTTTATTTTACTAAATTTTTTGTATTTTATTAATTTACTTGATTGTAATTTATTTTAATAACTTTTGCTTCCCTAAATTTTACTTTGTTTTCTTTGGTTTATTATATTCAATCAATTTTTTATGTTATTTATTTTCTTATTAAACACATTTTTGAGAATTTGTTTTTTAGTTATATTTTTTATTTTATTTTATCTTATTTCGTTTTAGTTTATCCCATAGTATTTTATTCGATTTCACTTTATTTTTTTTTTTAATTTCTCTTTTTTTTTACTTTTGTTTTTTCTAATTTGGCTTAGTTTTTTTATTTTTTTTTACTGTACTTTATATTATTTATATTTATTTCAACCTAATTATAAGTGAAATTAAGCAAATCAAAATAATTAACTAATTGTTTTTCCTTTTTTTTGAATTATTTTTTTTTAGGGTTATGTTATTCTATTATATGTTTTTTGATGTTTTTATTTTACATGGTTTCATTTAAATTAATTTAATATTGTGTTATTTTAATTAAATCTATTTTTGATATACTATATATTTGGATTTCCGTTTATTTTAATTTTTTTTTTACTTTTTGTGTATTTCATTTAATCTTTAATTTTTTATTTTATTTTGTCTGTTTTTCTCGTTTTATTTTAGCATTTGGTATTTTATTTAATTGATTTTGTTTAATTTGTTTTTCATTCATTTTATACTATTTTAATTTATTTCATATATGTCTATTTAAATTTACATTAATATTTTGTATTACAATATTTTTTTTTTGGTTTTTATTTTTTATTATTTTTATTAATTTTGTTTAAATTGATTTATTTTATTTTCTTACATTATTTTATTTTTTAAATTATTTTATTTTTCTTTATTGTATTTACTTTTCTTTTTGTTAAAAATTTTATATGTTATTTTCTTCTGTTCTATTTTATTTTTGTTGAGTTTATTAAATTTTTGTTTTAATAAAGTTTATGATTATTTTATTTCATTGTTATGGTTTAATTTATTTAATGTTTAGCATTAATCGCATGTTATTACATTAAGAAAGTATTTTTCTTTCAACACTCACTGTGTTAATTGATCACTCTTTATCACTCTCACTCCTTTTATATGACTCCTTTAGGTTTTTTTTATTTCTTGATCTGTAAAGTGTATTCAACTTTCTCCTTCCTTTTAAACTTAAACCGAAGAACGCCTCAAGTGTGCAACATGCGATTAGATACTAAAATATAAAATCGAAATCAAATTCCAATTCAAATCGCGCGAGTATTACTATTTTTTGTGGATTGAGTGTTTTCTATAATTATTTTATTTTGAGTGAAGTTCAATCAAAGGTTGAATTTCACATTTCACTACAGAAACTATTTCAATACAACTATATGTATTATTTAAATTTAAGAACATGCAAAATTAGTTTTTTTTATTTTTGTATTTGCCTTGCTTATATGCTTATCAAAACCAATTGTTGTCATAAGAAATAATGGAAAATATTTACATAAAGGACTTTTGTACCCATTAAATCTGACTTTGATAATTGTATTAAAAGTATACATACCTACATACATAATGAAATGTATGTAAACTTATTCATAGCACATTAAGTGACCTACCTTAAACTTTTAGTGACCACATTTCTGCTGAACTGGGGGGAAAATGATTATTTGAGCAATTTCGCAGTTAAATATTTCAAATATTGAGAATATATTCGTTTTGAATGCAATTAATAACTTTTAAAAATAAGTAACGAAAAGTATAGCGTTCTGTACTATTAAATTATTTTCCCACAAGATATTTTGCATATGTTGGAAAAAAGCCAGTTTTGCTCTAGTTTTCGGACATAAGGATATGGTGCACTGGTTGACTCGAACGTGTTACTTTGGTGAGGCCAAGTCCATATTGCTACCAGAAACACTATATACTGCCAAAGCTATACTGCTAAATTTTTTAGTGTCTCTAGTTTCTCTTCGCTCATTGAATCTTGCAACATTTCTTTTCCAAGTAATCTTAGTCTATTTTCATGCTGAAAGATAACGGTTTACCATTGTGCCCTTATGACCTGATTCGAAGCGAATAATATCATGACAGCTATGAATGTCGCATTTCTTGCTCACTCATTCCTCTATATTGAGCATCAACGACAGTTTATTCACCCAAGTACTTATTGACAAGTTTCTGCTATAAAATGGCCACTCCCAGATTTTATTTTATCCTTACTAGAGTTTTATATTCACTAACGAATACAGTGTTATCATTTCGCCCCATTAAATAAGCCAAGGTACAAATACAAGTTAATGAAATATCATCAGAGTAGGCTGTAAGCATTGCGGTTCCCCCGTTAACATTAATCAACAGTTTATTGATTGCGAGAGTCCTAAGAAGAAGTAATAAGACTTGCCCTGTGGTGTTCCTCTGTTCGGATATCGCATCACTGCGTCTAAGCCCCAGTCTATTTCATTTCAAATCCGTCTTTATTTACGTTTAAAAACGTTACTAAACGCTCCGGACATATCGAAGAAGTTACCATCAGCATATTCCCTATGACTCTACGTAGCGCTGTATCTGAGAAAACTAAATTCCAGTTGCTTAATATGAGTATCCACCAGGTGCCCCCATGTTTTATGGTTAAACTGATAATGCGATAGAATTAAAGTACAGATGCCGTGTCTAATCTACTTATTTTGAGTCTTCTGTTATTTTAATACGTATTGAAATCTTTTTTATTTAAATTTTTATGAATATAAGATATAAATATAAAATACAAAGGCTAGAACATCAACTGTTTTCGCAATATAATTTCTCTATTACGTTAACATATTTTTCGCAAATAAAAGACCGTCGAGCCTTCAGGGTGGGACCTGAAAAAATTGAGATAGAAATGTTTCAATATTAGCTTTTTCTTCTAAATCATGCGCTTTCGATACTGAGTTGTATTTGTTCAGATATCTTTAACTGACACATACCTAATTCCCCTGTAGCTACTGTAAAATCATGCGGCAACAAAGCAAATTTCTGAACTCTTTGAGCATGCGATAAGGCATTTTGATTGGCTTTCTCCAAGCCTTTTTCTATCGCCAACATAACCTTTTGGTCCAGACTTGGACACGCACCTTTATAATTAAAGTTCACTGCAAAAGCTGGTATTTTTAAAACTTCTGATAAATAAGTATAGTCAAAACCCAGCGCTTTCAACCACGAGACCGTGTCTGTGTGTAATGAGTCCAACGGTAGTCCACATATGTTGTCCATATTTGTCTGGAAATGAAGTTGGCTGTAAAAATTTTAAAGAATACAAAAAAAAGCTCCGCACTTTCAATGTTAGTAGAACAGTTAAATATTTGCGCTTATCGCCGACCAACAGAGCATTACTAACGCAGCGTAATTCCGCTTTTATGAGATTCTCTACATAAACTGGTGATATATTTTCACCGCCTGACGTGATGAGTAACTCTTTGATGCGTCCCGTAAGTTGCAGACAGCCATCATCGTTCAAGCGACCCATATCGCCTGTATGTAACCAGCCATTCGGTTCGATAAGTTCCCGACTGCGCTGCGCTTTATTTAGATAGCCCATCATTATGCAGCGACCGCGCAGACAAATCTGAGAACGTAAGGTAAAAATTTGGCAAGCTTTGGAAAAATATTTTACAATACCTCGCCCTGCCCATCTTTATTGGGCTTGTCGATTTTGATTTCAAAACCACTTAAAACTCGGCCTGTGCTGTTCAAGTGACAATAACTGGATGTCAATGAAATAGCGCCACCTGCCTCCGAAGCACCAAACATATCGCTAATGGGTATGTCCATGCTGAGAAAGAATTTCTTTGTTTGCACTGACAAAGGAGCACCGCCAACCCAATAATGCTTGCAACGGCTGAGACCAAGCTGAGCTTTATAAGGACGCATAATTAAAGCCGCCAATGCATATTTGATAGTTGGATTCGGTTGACTAAGAGAGAAAGAAAGATAGAGAGAGAGAAAGAGATGTGAATGAATATTCATGAAAATATTTGGGAATACACATACATGCCTTCTGCATTGCGCAGATAACTATTCAGTAAAGTCTGACGCGACCAAGCTGTAACCAGGCGCCAAATAAAGTTGGAATTGGATTCGGCTCTTTCAAATTGTTCCATGATTTTCTCGAACACACGTGGTACACCAAAAATTCTCGTTGGTTGTGCTGCTTTTAAAGTGTTCGTGACAGATCCCTTTCCCCAAAGTAGACACAATCACCATTCAGTAGAGGCATTAACACTTCGAAAAGTTGTGCGGCAATATGATTTAATGGTAGATACGAAACGGTTACACCAGCGCGAGAGCCTAAGTGTGCCACAGCTTCGACACAAAATTTTATATTCGATATGATGGCATCGTGAGAAAGCATTACGGCTTTCGGGTATCCGGTTGTGCCAGACTGTAAAACCAACAAAAATATATAGAAATTGTGTTTATAAAAACAATAAGTTTAACTTGGATAAATTCAAAGTTAAAAAAAAGGTAACTTACCGTAAAAATTAGCATAGCACACTGGTTTGCCGCCACCTCGCTTTCAATGCACTCCAATTTTCGCTTAAGAACTAGATCATAACTCTCTCTCATAAGGCTTGACCAAAGGTAATAGCCCTCTTTCTCTGTCAAATTAATATCGGTTGTCCTATGCAGTAATATCACTGCCTTCAAGTTTGTTAGTTGCGCTCTCACCACCCGCACCTTCGCCAATTGCGTCTCATCATCCACAACACAGACGCTTGCCGCAGAACATTGGAGCGCATATTTTACTGCCTCTTCTGAACTAGTCACATAAATACCTGATACCACAGCACCAATGCGTAATGCACCAAACTGTACGTAAAACCACTCAGGACAATTGTGGGCGAGCACACAGATGCAAGCGTTGGCACTGAGCCCGAGGTGTAGAAGTATAAGCGCCACTTTTTCAACTTTCCGTTCATACTCAGCGTAAGTAATGGTACACCAGGTATTTAGTTGTTTATTTTTATTATTACTCTGGGGTTTCTGACTTTCCCTTTTATATACCAGCGCTGGTAGGTTTGGTACGCGTTGGCAACACTCCCGAAAGAGTTGTGGTATTGTTTGGGGCGCAACTGCCGTAATACCTTCCTCACCAATGCGCAGACGCACAGCTTCCGAAAGTCTGACTGAAGTGTAACTCAACGCTGGTTTGAGGTTTTTGACTATGGAATTGTTCTTGAACTTTCTTTGCATTGTAAATTACTGTTTATGTAAAATTTACTTATTTTACTTTTTATTATTTATATATTTTTATTTTCAGAATTTCTATAGACACGGTTTGTGAGATTATAAGGCACAAAAATCCTCATCAATCATTGAAAACACCGAAAAAAACCTTTAGTCTATCAATATATCACTTTTGATATTATTCTATTTACTTAGTATTTAAAGGTGGCATCGGAAAATCTCCCACCAAACTCTCGTTAGCATAACCGGAATTTATATTTATAATAAACCAATCACGATTTGTGACCGATATACGCATCGGTAGAGTTCCTCCTTAATTTATTGTGTGCGTTTTGATGTGTTTCCAACATAAGTTTATAGTAATTCACCTCCAAACTGCTAATGGATTTTTATGAGCAGCATTAATTTCATGTCAGGAATACAATCCCAGGACTTGGCATTCCCTGCCGAGAAGCGACCGCTAACAGAAAAATTAACTTTCCATAACTTTGGATGTTAGTCGGGCGAGCACTCGAACCCTGATCTTCTGAAAAATGTGCTCTGCTAACCACTCTAAGTTTATATTTAGTTTACATCGCCTGTTCCTTCGACTGTGATATCTACAGAAGATGGCGGAAGGTGATCTGTTTGATCAAAAGGTTTTTGCTCATTTGCTTAACCTTAAAAGCAGGAGATTATTTATCCAGTAAGCTATTATCTCTCCGAATTAGCTTTAAACTGCTTCATGGGACATATAAGAGAGAGAGTAGTAAGGTTATTAAAAAAAACTGTTACGATCCTACTAAATTATAAATTTGAAATTCATGCTCCCTCTCGGCTCATATTTAGAACGTATTTTAACCAGTCGAAAATAATTATTCGAACTGGAAGTTTATAAATATTATAGGTGGCGCTGTAATCTAGGATTATATTTTGCACTGACAAGTATATGATGAGACTATGAACTAAAGAGTAAGAAACGAAGGTGCAGTAATTGAATATATAAAATAATATGAGCAGAAGAGCTGCAACCTCCTTGAAAATTCACACGTAATTAAATTGCTGATGTGATTGGGAATTTTTCTCAGAATTAAAAATTAATTAATAAGATATGTAAATGATATAACATTTATGCGCCGGTGGTAGAATTTAATTATTATTAGTGTTGGTCAAAAAGGGTAGATTTAGAGCCAGACCGCTCTATACCGTTGAGTAGGCTAACGGGGGTTAAATTTGTTATAGTAAATCTTTTTTGAATTGAGCTTTAAACTGTTTGAAGCAGTTAGTTTGATTAAGAAATTAAATATATTATATATATATATCACATAAGCAAATGTAAGCAATATATTATATAATAACGTTTCATGTGTGTGTGGTGTTGAATATGTAGAAGCAATGCTATCGATTAGGAAAGTTTTTAAAAAAATGTGTACTAAAAATCGCCATATCTATATATTTAATGTAACTTCTTTCGTCATTGGAATAGTTATAATCATTGTGGGATGCAGTAATAAAAGTTGTAAGTATAAATCCAAACCAAAGCTCGTCGGAAAAATCGAAAAATATTAGCGGCAATTTAATTATTATATATAAATATTTCAAACTTGATATTGAAGCCAAGGTCAATGTACATATAGGCCAAGTTATTATTAATCAGTAAGGGCACATACGTAATTAACTGATTAAATAAATCGTATTAAATTAAATTTATTTTTTTTCCTGAAAAAAAAGTTAAAACAGAATAAGAAATGCGGTTGTTAATCTTAAATGGCATCTTTTACCATTTATTGTAAAGAAAACAAAATGAAATGCTGCCTTCGTTCATGCCGAAGGTTTTATACCTTTCTTAAACTAATTAAAATTTATCGCGAAATGCAAATTACGATTTCGGCGATTTATTAAAGGTCGGATAAGTAGTGACAAAGGAGTTTTGATACTCCCTTATAAATGGTTGCATTTTCGAAAGTAGTAGAAAGCGGGAGAAAAAATGTTAGATTTAAATAAAAACAGGGAAAAAATAGTAAAAAAGGAGTTAAAAAGTACGGGAAATAGTAAAGTAGATAATTTACACGGGAACTATTAAATTATTACATATTTATTACATTAAATATAAATTAAATTTTCTAAATTATATTAAAAAATTAAAAGAAAATCTATGCAGTAAAAATTAATGGATGTGTAAAATAATAAAAATATAAATAGTAAAATCACTTTTATATTGTAAATTAAAAAAAATTGCATAATTTAATAAAATTAAATGCTGACATCACAATCGTCCAAGAGGTGGGTCTTTTAGAAATGTAGTAGATTAAGGAGAGCAAATTCAGCGTCGGATTTGTGGTGGAAGAGGGAGTCCTTCAGCGAGTACTAGCATTTCACAACAGTCTGCATCAAAACGAAATTTTACAAAACAACGTTGACTTGAAAGACGATGTGACAAAGGATATCTTTAATAGGCGTACTAACCACTACGCCGTAGTTGGGGACTTCAACGTTAGGGAAGGCAAAGAGAATATCTTTGGCACAACTGTCGCATAATTCTGCCTCAACAATGAAACATCACCAAGTGAGTTGACACTGATCGACTTCGCTGGAGCACGAAATATGGTTGTCTTCAGTGTTCGATTCCAGCGCAGGAAAATTAATCAAGGTACATATTTGTCTGCAGATGGAGGATGAGATAGACGGAAGACATGTCTTCAGTGCTCTTGACGAGCGTACACTCCGAGGACTTTACATCGAGTCGGAGCGCGCCTCAACAAAATCAAACAAGTTTCGAAATTAAAGAGCTGTAATCACATCAGACAGTCGAACGGTTTTTTTTGGACTTGCACTCCTGCTCTAAGAGAGCACTGATCAACAACTCCGTATAAAAAACGGTGGCCCGGATTTTCAAGTTCACTACGTACAGCTTCAAACAAAATTATTGGTTACTGAAAAGATCGCAAGAACAGATGGTGCAATGTGGAATGCCGTGCAGTGAAAAAAAAACCAGGCTGCATACACCTGCGGGATGAGATAGAGCCGAAGCGGGAATAAATACGCATTTGCAGGAAAAAAGAAAGAGGCCAAAATGCGTGAGTATGTAGAGCTTGAGAAGCTAGCCCACAGGTTTATTGCTTATTCTACGAAAAAATACAGCGACTTTCAACGACTGGAACAAACTCTTGTAGGACCCATAATAGTGATCTAGTAACTGATGCCCAGAGTATTCTGAATTTATGGATGGAACACTTTTCCAGCGGGCTGAATGGTAGTGAAAATAAACACCCGGAGATGGTGGGCTTTATATGTGAACGATTCGCAGACTTCGCAACAAGAAAAGATAAATGAGAAAAGAGTATATTATGTTAACCAAAAGTTTTCATAAAAAATGAAGTATTTACCTGCTTACCTTAATTATATATTCTAAAAATAATACTCTCGTCTTAATTGTTGAATCATGCATACATACAAGAATATTATGCCCTTTTCACAGATTTTTGATCGAAAACTTCATATTTAAACAAGTAGGTTATATTCGGCCGCATGTTGTTTTTACAGATTTATGAATTGAAATAACGCTTTTTTTAGTGGTCAAATGTGGCCTGTTGCCAGAAATAGTCGATTAACAGGACTGTTCTGTCGGAGTAATAAAATTTATTAATCACATGCCTATTTCACTGTTACCGGAGAAGTAAATTTTGTAACATTCTTTTAACAACAGAAATTGAATTTGGTTTTCTTCATACTGGCTACGATATTTGGAAAACCTTTGGTAGCACTTCTTTTTTCGTTCTTGTCAAATTACATCTGCCATCTGGTTGAATTTCATCTCTTGATGGGAAGAAAATTGTCCGGGATTTTACTCTGACAATCAAATTTGAAATACAGTGCAGTGATCGCGACACAGAAAGTTGGCTCATAGCAATTAGACAATTACTCCCAACGCATTTTCTGGACCCGTTGAAAAAAATAAATATATTTTTGTGGTAAGCCCTTAAAAAAAATTTTTGATCTAGTATCTATGTATGAAAATGAGTATCTACCCCCTTGTCAAATGGTGCCAATTCGTTTATAATTCTCTATACAAATTGTTCTGTTCTGTTGTTATTATTTCCAAATTAAAAGTGAATTTTTTTTTTCTTGTTAACTTTTAACATGCGCCTTTTTGTACTTTTTTCTTCATCTGCAATGAATACTAGACATAAAATATGAATCTACATTTCGGTTTTTGCCTTTTCTCAAGTTGCCTATAAAAAATCGAACAGCTTATTGTTTCTTACCTCCTATTTCGCGGGTAACAAAATTTACGGGGTAACAGTGAGCTCAGAATACGAAATGGTAACAAAATTTACGGAATGGTAAATTTTAATACCAAAGTAAATTGTGTTACCTCGACGGAATAGGCCTGCCAGTAAATTTGGTTACTATTTCGTATTCTGAGTTCACTGTCACCCTTTAAATTTTGTTACCCGCGAAACTTACTCCGTTACTTACTTCGGAGGCAAGTTTATATAAAATATTTTTGTATATTCATCTAAGGTCTAAAATTTAGACTAATTCTAATTAAATTGTCGGGTTTCCAAATTAACTATTGCCAATGGGTATCAACTGAAATCAGGGCTGCATTGTAATGATAAATTTCACGTAAATCAAAAAAAAATTAATTACACTCTGTTGAAACATTTGGAAATGTTATCCTTAAAGCAGTTATCAAAATAAATATTACTTCATTTTTAACCGAAACGTAATGCTGCTGTTAATGTTAAATCATTAACAGGAAATGTTAAACGTTAAGATTGAAGTGTGCTGTTAATATCATAATTGCCTGCCTTTTTAAAATTAACATAGATGATTAGTTTGAGCGGTTTCAACATTAACAATTTCATTAAGTGTTGATAATATAGCACCGAAACGATAAGAAATTATTTCGTTAAATTTATTTTTCATATTAACGAATCGCAATGACATCGCTTCGTTTGTTGAACATCTCTCAATGAAATAGATTTGAAAACTATTAAATATTTAATATTTTTAGCAGTAAT